CCCCAAAACCCCAAAACCCCAAAACCCCAAAACCCCATTAAAATTTATTTGATTGAAATTATCAGTAAATGTCATCTACAACAGTTGAGGTCTACATACACCTAATAGAGAGGATGAGACAGGAAGATACCCTTCTACGCCTCTTTTACCCAGTGAGCTTCTTGACTCTCTGGAAGATGGTCTTCTTATGATTCTTTCAAGCATCAGCTTTGATATTGTCACTTAAATAATTATTGTATGATCAATTGATTAAGTTCTGAATATTTTCTTTTTCACCACTTTGTGGAAGTCTATCATTCTCCCTAGTCATCATATTCTGGACCTTATTTGTTATTAAACAAAATGCTGCTGTCTAGATTATGCCTCCTGAGAGAAGTAGAATTCGCTTTTCACCTTCTTTTGTGAGGATTTCCCTCATTTGTATCCCTAACTCTGATCCCAAGACCTTTGATTTTAATGTTGCTCATTTTCTTCTTCCTGTTGATATTAAAGGGGGACATCTTACCGAGCGAGTCTGTTGAACTTGAATATCTGGCTTATGGTCTTTTTAAAATAATCCAGGCATTCAGCCTTCTTGGAATCCCCGCTTGTATTCAAGTTTTCTCGCCTAATTTCTAAATTTCGTTGTCTTTTTCAGTATTTCCTATAAATAATTAATGAGTTTAATAGCCGATGATACAAGATTTGGGGTTACTGGATAAGAAGCTTCAGTTGGAAAGTTTCCAATTTACCTGAGATTTGCACCGGAAGATCGGCTATCTATGCCGAAATGACTCGCACGACTGCTGCTAGTCTCCTTCCGATCAGCATAGTATCGTCTTTTTAAACTTTTATAGTCAAAACTGCACCTGGTTATATTGACTCAATTGGATTTTTCTTGATAGTGAATGAAGAGTTCTTGATTTCAGGTTTATGAATTTCTAAATAGTCAAATAGTTTATAATGATATGCCTTATATGAAAAGTACCTCAAAAGGTGAGTTTTATTTCAGTGAAAGATAGTAAAAACCTAAACACAAAATAGGGCAATTAAGTAACTTCAAAAGGCTGAGCCAGATGCAGATATCGACTTACCTTGACGACTCTCCTCTAGAGAGGATCTCACAGCCATCTCTGGAGATTGAAAGGTCATATTCATTAACTTTGTTTTACCCTTTCGGTATCTCATCTTAGAGGCTGTTTGGTTAAAATCTAAGCGTCTTTTACTATCATTCTTGAAATATTTAGAGTATCCATTGTAGGTAGTCCTCATTTGGGACTTTAAAGGGCCTCTAATTTTGTCAATTCCCTTTGCTAAATCTTGATTAAAGACTTTTAATAGACTTTATTTAGCTTAATACACCGGAGTTCTTACAGCCTAGGTTTAACCATGTTTTAAGTAAAGATCATTATAGAATTTGGCAGAATGCTTACGAAGGATTAGTTCAATAATATGCTTACAGAGAAACACCTTGATAGGAGTAGATCTGACTTTGAAATCATTTAGGATTATATTATTGGCGCCATGAGTACGTCCTCTACTGAGTCTAGTTTCGTATTTAGGTGATCCACGAAGAGAATGGTCATCCATTTGTTCTAAATTTCAATAATTTTCATATTTTTGGGGTTTTGGGGTTTTGGGGTTTTGGGGTTTTGGGG